CAGAACAGGCTCAACTTGGAGAAATTGATTCAATTTATTGTCAATCACATTTGGATAATGAGAAATAAAAATACATTTAGAAAAACATTCCTCTCAATTCTTGCTTCTTTGCAGGCTCAACTTCACTCCCAACTCTTGTAACTCCTCCTCCCCAGCAGCACAGAGTGATGGGGAATGGGGGTTGCAGTCAGTTCATAATGCATTATCTCTGCCTCTCCTTTCTGCTCACCTGCTTCAATGTGGGATCCTTCGCACAAGAGACAGCCCTTCATGAACTTCACCAGTGTAGGTCCTTCCCATAGACTGCAGTTCCTCATGAACTTCAGCATGGGTCCTTTCCATGGAGTGCAATCCTTCAGGAACAGACTGCTCTAGCATGGGTCTCCCATAAGGTCACAGGTCCTGCCAAATAAAACCTGCTCTATGTGGGCTCTTCATGGGCTGCAGCTTCTTTCAGGGCACATCTACCTGTTCTGATGGGGGTTCCTCATAGGCTGCAGGTGGATCTCTGCATCTCCATGGATCTCCATGGGCTGCAAGGGAACAGCTGACTTATCATGGTCTTCACTATGGGCTGCAGAGGAATCTCTGTTCTGGCAGCTGGAGCACCTCCTCCCCCTCCTTCTTTTCTGATCCTTGGTGTCTGCAGAATTTTTTTTCACATATTCTCACTCCTCTCCCCCAGCTACTGTTGTGGAGCATTTTTAACTCTTTTTAAAATATGTTATCACAGAGGCACTACTAATGTCTCCGATTGGCTCAGGCTTTGGCCAGTGGTGGGTCCATCTTGGAGCTGGCTGAAACTGGCTCTTTCTGACATGGGAGCAGCTTCTGCTGTCTCCTCTCAGAAGCTACCCATGCAGACCCCCACTACAAAAACTTTGCCACATAAACCCAATATAGCCATTCAGCCAATTCTCAATCTATCTCGGTGTCTGCTCATCCAGTCCATATTTCATCAATTTTTCACCTCATCTAGCAGGCCAGTCATTTCATTGTAGAAGTTTATCAATTTGGTCAAGCGCAAACTCCTTTTGGTGAATCCATGCTGACTACTCCCAATTGCCATCTTCTCCTTCATGTGTTTTTCAATGGTTTCTAGGTTTAGCTGCTTCATCAACTTCTCAGGAACAAGGTGAGGCTAACCGGTCTATAAAAGCTGTTAAAACTGTTTGACTCCTATAATGTCACCTGTAATAATGCCAGAATTAAGGCTTTTCCCCAAGATAAAGCACATTGGAGCAAGTGGTAGCATAATCCTGGCTCCTAGCACCTAGTTTTTTTTTCGGTGTGAAAGTTCTTTTTAAACCCTAGAAACTCAAAAGACTGTTACTTTTATACATTCAAGACACTTTGGATTCTACTCAAAGAGCTGAAAAAATTGTGAAATAATAAATTTTCTAGAAACTAGTGGATATTGGAATAAAATTTCAATATTACTGTATGGAACGTGCCTGGGCTCGTCTGGCCCCTGCTGCTTGGCCAGAGGTGGCAGCTGTGGTATTTCACCACAGAGATACCTCTGGCTGGCTAGATGTTGCAGCTAGGAACTTGGAACACGTCCAGGCTTGTAGGAATTCAGTTTTACCTCTGGTGAAAGTCCTTAGGCGAGGTGAAAAGGAGAGGATTCTGAGGAGGGTTAAATCCAGAGTTTTATTCCAGGGTCACGGAGCTCTGAATCTTGGTAACAGCTCCCAGCAGAATACTGACCACATGGTCTGAGTGTCCTTTTAAGCCCAAGGGGAGGGGGGAGGGAGAGGATAGGTGAGCCATCAATCCAGGTGGGAGGGGAAGGGTCTCATGGGTCAATGACACTTAGACAGGCCAATGGCCCCAGGTCTGAGAAGCATCTTTTGAACTTCTGCCAATCACACACGCCCTTGCTGGAATGTTAAGCTTGACAGACAGCTCCTAGCAGGAGGCAAGGGGAGGGGAGGGGAGAAGTTGGCACACCTGGGAAAGGACTGGGGTAGCTAAAACAGGAAATTGCAACACACTTCAACAAGTGGAACTATGTGAACATACTGATTTTGATTTAAAAATAGAAATTGATCTTCTGCCAGACATTTTTAGAGTATAATGAGACTTAAGTTAAAAATTCTTTAAAAATTAGGTTTTTGGATTGCAAAGAGATCTATCAAGTGATGAGAAGTTTATCCATAAGAGTTCAATGTCACTTGATTAGGTAGGGGAAAGTACTGGAGCTAACTACGAATACAACAATAGGCTACAGAGCTACAAATATATGTGTAAAGAATATAGAGAATATATAAAAGAAAAAAAGGCAAAAATTAATTCAGCATCACTGTGATACTAGAGATTAAACTTTAATCTTCCTAAAGTTGATTACAGTTGTAAAATTTATTTCTGCAGGCCTGGAATTTTATCCTGGGCCTTTACAATAACTAAACTTCATATAAAATTCATAGAGATTTAGATCATTACAAAAGTTGTTGTTTTCAAGTATTCTCATTCCTAAAGTTATCATACTCTATGTTAAGGCAAAGAGGTGTTTTTTGGAAAAGTATACTTCTTTTTGTTGTGGTTCGATGCTGACCAAATGCCAGGCACTCATGGAAGTTGTTTGCTTACTCTCTCCTGCTACAGTTGGGTTGAGGAGAGGGAAAAAAATTAACTAACAGTTCATGAGTTAAGGACTAGGAGAAAAAAAGACTTTAACAGCAAAACAGGTGGAAATTTAAAGGTCTAAAGTAAATTTATTATTAACGGAGTCAGAGGAGGAAAATGGAAGTAAAATAAGCCTTTAAAACACCTTTTTTTCCCCAGCCCCTCCATCTTTCCCACCGACAGCACAGGAAGACAGGGCATGAGGGGCTTTGGTCACATCATCTTTCAAGATCTTTTTCCATTCACTCAGGGAGAGGAGTCTTTTTTCTGCTATGCCATGGGGTCCCTCCCATGGGCAAAACTGTCATCCTCAAACTGTTATGGCATGGGTCATTTGTCCATGGGGTGTGGTCTTTTAAGGCTAGGCTGCTCAAGTTTGAAAGCAAGGGCTCTCTATCTCTGGAAACAGGGGCCCTCTCTCTCTATTCGGGTCTCCCACTAGACCACAGCTTTCTCTAACATCTACCCATTCTGGCATGAGCACTTTTCCCACAGGCTGCGAGTGGACCTCTGCATCCCCTGTGGACTTCATGCATTAAAAGGGGACAGTTTGTTTTACCATAGTCCTCACCATTGCCTGCAGAGGAATCTTGGCTCCAATGCTTGAAGCACCTTCTCCCCCTCTTTCTTTTCCACTGACCTTGGTGCCGCCATGTTGTTTTCCCTCACATATCCTGAATTCCTCCTCTTTTCTGACTAGAAGAAAATCTTCTGCTTGTAGGTACCATTGTCAACAAGTTCCACCAATTCAAAGATTCTTGCAAGATCCCACAGTGCCAAGAAGTTGATCTCATGTAGGTTCCGCATCAGGGAATCACTCGTCATGCTTCTGCTTCTGGCCAGGTGACCCAGCTGCCATTGTGCAGGCAGTGGCAGCTGCTGCGGCACTGACACTATTTAACACTTTTCTTCATGTGGCGCACCGGGAAGGGGAAGCTATTGCCATCACTCCTGCCCTTTTTGCCCGCAGCGCATTGGCTAGGGGCAGCCAGGCAGGCAAGGCTGGCCACGAGCCACACTGGGGATGGCAGCGGCCGCACCAAAAAAACAGGCCATGCCAAATCAACACACTTGTATATCACATGTTCTATGTTATTGTATAGTTAAATATATGTCTAGAATGACCAAAACCTTGTATGCTTGCTTCTTAAGGGAACTTTCTCATAAACTAAAATCTAAATAGCCACATAGGACATTTCTATTATCTATTGAATAAGATCAAAATGTGAACATGCTCACATCTGACTTAACTTCTTTTAAGAGGAGCATTTTCAGAGTGGAATTTGTTGATGTTTCTAAAGTTAAAACAAAGCTTTACAATCTGCAATTTCAGACTTGAGCAACAGTTCTCATGCATTGCTTTCTGCATTGAGGTTTGTCTAGTTTTCTTCGGGCTACAAAGCTACTTCAGAAGGACAAAGGTTCCAAGTTCTTATCACTAAGAGCTATGGCAGAATTAATTTTCAGTTGTGTTGAAGATGGCAGGCAGAATCTTCAGCCTGTCTGTGTGATAGTTTTAACATCTGACCACCCTAAACAGAACTCCTATTTGTATATTTGTCCTTTTTATCCTTTATAAAAGGTTTTGTGACTTAAATGATGAAGAGAATGGAATGGAATGGAATGGAATGGAATGGAATGGAATAGAATAGAATAGAATAGAATAGAATAGAATAGAATAGAAAAGAATAGAATAGAATAGAATATTTCAGTTGCAAGGGACTTCGAACAATCATCTAGTCCAACTGCCTGACTACTTCAGGGCTGAACAAAAGTTAAAGCATATTATTAAAGGCATTGTTCAAATGCCTCTTGAACAGTGACAGGCTTGAGGCATTGACCACCTCTGTAGGAAACCTGTTCCAGTGTTTGACTACCCTCTCAGTAAAGAAATGCTTCCTAATATCAAGTCTGAACCTCCCTTGATTCAGCTACTTAGTTTAAGTAGCCTTCTCAGACCTTCTGAGCTTATGAGAGGTTTGTTACATGTTAAAATTATTTAAATTACTTTGTCTTCAAACAAATAAATCACCCTTCTTTAGGTGATTAAACCTTTATTTTTGAGCTACTTGATTCCTGGGAAGACAAGTCCTTTGGAAAAGGAAATATTGTGTTTCTGTTTAGTGTAAATGCGCTTTAGATGTTAGTGGTATAGTTTTTAACCAAATTCCACTAGAAATTTGTAGTTGTGCTGTGATATGTGCTTTATGAATTTTATGTGTTGCCAATGTTCTACATTTCCTTGCTACAATTATTCTGATGTTACTTTTTTCTTTTGTGTGAGCTAGCAAAACTGTATATTAAGACTCAGAAATCAGGCACTTACAAAAAAGTCATCCTGAAGAATTATTTTGTATTTGATCATTTTGTAGGTACAAGCCTTTGCAGAAAGTGGATGGAGTTCCAGATAGTTTCACAGGAAGTGGTCAACAGACAGGCACATCTGCTGAACAAACTATAATTGCCCAAAGTCAACATCATCAACAGTTTTTAGGTATGAAAAGATGTTATACTGTCGCCTCACTGATAATAGAACAAAAAGATACTCATAGGAGCTATATGTTCTGTATTGCAAGACTTCTGCAGTATTTAATATTCATTATGCAGATATTAAAAAAATGTGCAAAATCTATTTGCACCGTAGATTTAAAATATATTGCAATGCAAGTGTGGTGAAGACTGAGGCAAACTGCTCTGGCAGATGTGCTCTGGAGTTAAGGATCATGCCGAGGGACTGTGGAGAGAGTTCCTGAAGTGGCAAGACCTCAAAATTAGCACCAAGAGGTGCCTCAGCACCCCACCTTCCCCTCCCAGCAGGAAGCACTGAAGCTCTGACCCAGAGGCAGCTTTGACTCAGTGTGGGTGAGGTCAGGAGTGATGAGGTCCACTCCCCACCCTGTAACACCCCAGACAATGTATGGGACTAAACTGAGGTTCCTTTGCTTTGGGTAGATGCAAGGGAGAAATACCAACCAGATATTCTCAAGAGGTAAAAATCCTACAAAGGTTTACTGGCAAAAAATAGAAAATCAAGGAACTTTGGCAAAAGATTTAGTGCAACATAAAACACTTATTACGGCATCATCTTAGCCCATTCAACTTCGCAACCTTTAAACCCATTTGATGTTTACGTTCCATAAGAAAGTTTGAAGAAGAAAGGGAGAAAGACAGGAAAGATATAGCAAAAGAGTCATAGCTACCAACTCCTGAGTTCCAGCAATGTAACAGATAGAAAACTCCAAGATGAAGGTAGGGTTAAAGAATGACGTGCTTGCCTTGTGCTCAGCCTTCTTAAACCCTTGGCCCTTCATGGGCCTTCCTCCCAGGTGGGACTTCCAGTTATTCAGCCACTCAGGGGCTGGGTTAGGCAACACTGGGGGGATGCCTCCAGTGTTCTATTATTGACAGAGACTGCAGGGCTGGGGGGTATTTGGGGCAGGGCACCACCTCACCGGAGCAAGGCTGGACCGCCCCCTACTACACACATTCCAAGCATCCCAAAATGTCTCCAGACATTGCTCTTTCCAGTCTCTGACACACCCATACAAAAGCAGCTCCTAGGGTACAAAGTAGGTAAACAGGGTGGGGTGTGGCAGTTCAGGAAGGTAGAATGCAGTCACCCACCAGCTCAAGAGGAGAGCTCAGTTGGTGGTCATTACCTTCTCAGAAGGAGCTCAGCTATAGTATCCCCTTGGAGGGGAGCTATGTCCTCTGGACTTGCCAGAAAGGATGTGGTGACACAGACAGAGATGCCATGAAAACACGCAGCCATCTAGGTCTTGGGCTACAGGGAATGCCAGAGCCTGGCACTGGTACTGGATGGCAGTAGAGACAACAGCTGTGTGAGGTGTGGTGAAGTGGATTATCTGCTCAGCCCAGGGGCAGATCTAAGAGAGGAGGTAGAAAAGAAGTATCAGGAACTCTGAATGGTTGAGCCAATCTCTACCATTTCTAAGGCAAATGCACCAGCTGGCCACACCACAAGAAGAAAATGATTCTTTACACTCTCACTACCAGGCAGAAGGAGGGGACCTAAGAGATGAGGGGGAATGGAAACAGGTGTCTACTCAAGGCAGCAGGCAAATCCCCTCCTGGCCTACCTCACCTTCCCAGCTGCAATACAATAAGTATGTGGCTCTAGAACTTGAAGACCAGGCACAGAATCATCAACGTTGGAAGAGACTTCCAAGATCATCTAGTCCAACCATCAACCCAGCACTCCCATAATCACCCTTAAATCATATCCCCAAGTGCCATATCCAGATGCCTCTTGAACACAAATACAACATGGGCACTCTACAATATGGATAAAGGTCTGTCCAGGTTGGAGGAGTTGCCTAGAGTGAGTAAGTTTACCCCCTGCATCACAACTGCCTCAGTCAAGAAAAAAAGAGCAATTGTCATTGGTGACTCCTTTTTGAGAGGAATAAAGGCCTGATATGCTGACTGGACCCAACTCATAGGGAAGTCTGGTGCCTCCCTGAGGCCTGGGTAAGAGACATTGCCAAGAAACTCTGGAGCCTGGAACAGCCCTCTGATTATTATCCATTACTGATTTTTCAGGTGGTCAACAATGAAGTCCAAAAAAAAGTCTGAGGACAAAAAGGAGCCCCAGGGCTTTGGGATGAATGGTTGAAGGATCTGGAGCAAACAGTTTTCTCCTCTGTTCTGCCAGTTGCAGGGAATGATGGAGGTAGAAACAGGAAAATCATGCAGATGAATACCTGGTGCTGAACCTAGTGTGACCAGCAGAATTCGGGTTTTTTTGATCATGGGTTGTTTTACATGACACTGAGCCTGCTGGCAACAGCTGGGGTACACCTGTCTCAAAGGGGGGAAAGGATCCTTATTAGCTAGCAGGGCTCATTGAGAGAGCTTTAAACTAGATTTCAAGGGAGTAAAATCAGGAACACTGGAGATAAGCCTGGGGGTGGCATGCCACTGACAGATGGCATGCTAATAAGGTCCTTCAGTCTGTAGTCTTGATAGAGGTAGGAGATGGAGATCCATGCAGTAGCAAGGATGCATGGGTTATTGATGTGCTAGAAACCACAGAAGCAGCTGAGAATGGTCAAGCAGAAATTAGAGCTTCTCCCCCTGAAAAGACAGTGGATCAATAGCACAAGTGTATTACATCAATGCATTCAGCATGGGCAACAAACAGGAGGAACTGGAAGCCATGGTGCAGCAAAACTATGACATAGTTGCCATCACAGAGACACGATGGAACTGTTGTAGCATGGCATCCCCAGCCGGGTAATAATTGGCATTGACTCCATGATTCCAGAAGGCTGATCAATCGCTTTATTATACTATACTTATTAAGAAACCCATCGCCTTTACAAACAGTCCGATACAGTTTGACCTAATTGGTCCTTTAATTAAAACCCCATCACCATTGGCTAATTAATAAACTACCCTTTGGTAAACAAATCTCCATAACACATTCCACATGTTCACAACAACAGGTGCAGCAAGTGAAGATAAGAATTGTTCATCATTCTTTTCTCTGATCTTCTCACAGCCTTTCCCATCAGGATGCCTGGGCAAGTTGTGTGCCACTCTCTGTAGCCAGAGAGCTTCTGCCACAATGGAACAAGTCGCACAACTGATGCAGATGGTCTTTCAGGTCCTTTCCAACCCAAACCATTCTATGATTCTATAACCTGATCTTCTTCTATGACAAGGTGGCCTGCCTAGTGGATGAAGGAAAGGCTGTGGATATTGTCCACCTAAACCTCAATAAAACTTTTGACACTGTGTCTCACAGCATTCCCAGAGGAAGGGGCTGTTCATGGCTTGGATGGATACACTGTTTGCTGGGTAAAACACTGACTGGATAGCTAGGCCCGAAGAATGGTGATGAATGAAGTCAAATCCAGTTGGTGGGTGGTCACAAGTGGTATTCCCCCGGGCTCAGTATTGGGGCCAGTCCTGTTTAATATCTTTAGCAGTGATCTGGATGAGGGGGTTGAATGTGCCTCTGTAACTGTGCAGATGACCCCAAATTGGCCAGAAGTGTTGATCTGCTGGAGAGTAGGAAGGCTCTGCAGAGGGATCTGGACAGGCTGGATCAATCGGCCGAGGCCAGTGGCATGAGGTTCAACAAGGTGAAGTGTTGAGTCCTGTATTTGGGTCACAACAACCCCATGCAATGCTACAGGCTGGGGGAAGAGTGGCTGGAAAGCGTCGGAAAAGGATCTGGGGGTGCTGGTCAACAGCTGGCTGGACTTTAGATGGCAGTGTGTCCGGGTGGCCAAGAAAGCCAATGGCATCCTGGCTTTTACATTTGCTAATGTAAAAATGCTTATTAAATGTGTTATTGCAGTAATTGTACACTTTGTTTTGAATTCGTATATTGGGGATTTTGAGGCATCTCATCTTTTGGCACAACCTTGCTGTTACCAAAATCATTGGGATCCTTTGGCTATAGTTAGCAGGTTTTTTAATTTTCCTTTCCACTGTCCCCCTAGTTGACAGTGCATTTTCCCCCCCGTACCAGTATATCTGTTGGAAACACTTGTGAGAAATAGTAAAAGCACATGTTGGCTACAGTTGAAAGGCTTTTAAATTTCAAGTAAGTATATGCTGCTGAGTCTACTAAACCCTAACATGCATGTCAATGCAAAAGCTCTTTGGTTGATCAAAATAAAACTATTACATTATGTTGATCTCTTACATACTGACATTAATATTCTGAAAATTAGTCTTATCTTTTTTTACATACAAATACAATATGTATGTGTAATCATTTTTATCTGCTACCTCTTAAGAATAATTTAGCATCTTTTGTTTTAAAAATAGCTAGCTGGTTTGCTCACAGTTTTATTGCAACTTTAAAACATATTAAGTATGAAAGACATTCCTCTTTGGGCATTATGACCTTCTAGACTTTATTTCTTTACATCATCCTTAAATGTTTTCTGATCAAACTGTAATTAGCAGAATTTGCAATATCTTTGTTCTGTTATGTTGTCATGGAAACAGATGCATCTCGAGTACTTCCAGAGTTTGGAGAAGTTGAAATATCTTCTCTGCCAGATGGTACTACCCTTGAGGACATAAAATCACTGCAAAGTCTTTATCGAGAACACTGTGAGGTAAGAAAAGTATCTTTTCACAGAAATCATTCTTTGAAAATTCATGTTGTCTAGTGAGAATCAGAACAACAAGGTGACTGACACAAAACAGATTACAGCCAGCCTACTTGTATCTTATGTGATTCTCAAATATTTTGCTTATTCAGAAAGGACATTTACAAAAAGACCCCTGAAATTTCTCTCTTAACAGGAAAAAAGACCCCATGTAATAGAATACCGATACAGGAATGTAATAATGTGTAGATTTTGAGAATTTTAGATAAAACAAACTTTGGATAATATATATTCAGAATTGAGCTTTTTTAATATGAGATGGAATAATATTAAATTATTATTTGTAATGTTTATGTTAAAAACAAACTAATTTTTTTCTTCAAGTTTTAAAGAAGCAGGTTGCTTAAGAATTTAAGGCCGCATTTTATATTGAATAACGTGTTTTAAAATTATTGTTGAAGGTGCTTTAAAGCATGTAATGAAGTAACAAAATTAATGAAATAGGTTTCCTTTGTGTTTTCAATAGTGTTAAAAGTTCAGTTTAAGTGAATTCACCTGATATATGTGCTTAGGCTCTTTTCTGGAGGGCTGATCTTAGTCACTTGGCCTGATCTTAGCTTCTGGTTACACCAGTCCAGACAGTTGGAGAAATTTTTGCTCCAAAGTTATTAAAAAGGATATTATATGTTTATTTATAAGCATACATTTTAATATTTTTTCTGCAAAATGACCAGGGGCAGCTATACCCCTTGAAAGAATAGTGGGGAGAATCACTTAGAAGACTATCTGCACTGATTTTATATTTCTTTAGGCAATAGTGGATGTTATTGTGAATCTTCAGTTTAGCCTGATAGAAAAATTGTGGCAAACTTTCTGGCGCTATTCTCCCTCTGCTCCAGCTGACGATGTGGCTATTATTGAACTGAGGTCAGTAAATGTATCTTTGCTTACTGTTCAACATCATGATATAACAGCAGGAGTCAAATCAATAGAAGACTTAGTTTTACCTATAGGCTAAGAACCTTTTCTGATAGCAATAGTTTTTCAGGTTAAATTTGTGTTGTCTGCTATTTGATATATAGGGTGTTGGTATATGTCAAACTGCAGCCTTGAAATGATTGTATACATCTATTTTTTTTCATTTGGATTACTAGATTCAAAGTATCTTTTCACAATATGTTGTCTGGTCTGTTTAAATTGCAAGGACCATTTTTATCATATCTCTGCATTATTTATGGTCTGGAGCAGAACTTTGGAGGCCATTTTCCCCCCCAGTTTCATATGATGAAGTTAGAGTTTCAATTGGATGTAACAGAAACATCTATAAAGTTTTCATTAAATAATCTATTTCAAAATGAATTGCACTTATCTGTATGTAAATGCATTTCCATTTGTTACATTTATTCACAACAGCAATCTGAGTGAAATAGAAAGTCGACTTCCAAAAGGAAAACTTATTACTCTGTGCAAAAATGAGTCTATTCTGAAATGGATGGGTAACTGTGACCATGTGATGTACCAGGCTTTGGTGGAGATTCTCATTCCTGATGTCCTTAGACCTATTCCTAGTAAGTTAAACACAGATAACATTTCATAAGACTGTCTTTTGTTTTGTTTTATGTGGTGAGATTTTTGTGCCTCGTGAAACTTTTGGAAATGATTTCAAAGGATCTAAATGTCATGTGTGTATGTGTGTGATCTTTCCTTAACTTTGTTGACTAGAAAGGCATACTGGAGTTGATGTAAGCATTGTATTTAAAGAAAAGCAGAGTGGATGTTTCATTGTATTTAGGAAAGCCCATAGAATTTTTAAGAATATATTTTATTATGAATTATGACTTTTTTACTGCTAATTCTAAGTTTTTATCAAAGATAAATATGGCTTTTTTAATATACTAGTTCTAGTCTAACTGACAGCTGTGAATGTACTATGGCCCTAAGCCTGAGTCCAATAATGTCAAGACAGTCTTTCTGTTGACTTCAGTAGGCTTTAGTTTAAGTTTTTTATATATAAGTTCTAGTTGTTAAAAAAAGTAAAATATATATACTTTGTCATTTTAGTTTTGGATAATTAAACATTAATGTATTATTAGCGGCTTCTAAAACCTTATCAGTTTTGATACCTATTTAACCAACATAACACTATCAAACATCTTAAGACTTGTTTATTGTTCCAGTCTATTATAGTTTATTTTCGATTTCCAGTATGAAGGACTCATTGATTGATTCTGATATTATGGCAAACTGACCATTATCAGGAATAGAGCATTCTTTTATAGCATCCATGGTACTTTTTAATGGCTGCTTTTGGTAGTAAATGATTTTTAAATTGTTTTCCAGGAAGGCTAAATTCTTTTTAAAAACATTTATTGCATGTTTTGTATGTTGTGTTAAATCTTGAAATGTAATTATAATAACATATATATAATATATATATATATATGTATATATATCATATAAGATTAAAAGAATTTATAAAAGGAATATTAGGAACCAACAAGAAGACACCTGTAAAATGCCACAAAGGAATTGTGTTCCTCTAAAATGGTGACAAGGTTGATAGGTCTACTGAAGTGCCTCTATAGCAATGCATGCAGGATGGATAACAGACAGGAAAAGATGGAAGCCTCTGTGCACCTGGAAAGCTATGATTTAATACCATCACTGAAACAATGGGACAAATCACACAACTGAAACGCTGCAATCAATGGCTATAAACTGTTCAGAAAGCATTGGCAAGGAAGAAGGGGTGGAGGGGTTGCCCTCTGTGTAAAAAAAAAAATTGACTGGAGAGAGCTGTCTTTGAAAACAAGTGCTGAATGGGTTGAAATCTTTTGGGTAAAAATAAGGGAAAAGCCAACAAAGGAAACTTCATGGTTGGTGTTTGCTACAGGCTGCCCAATCAAGGGGAGCCTGTTGATGAAGTGTTCTTACTTCAGCTACAGGAAGCATCACACTCACAGGCTCTGATCCTCCTGGGGGACTGCCCTGACACCAGCAATCTCTCTTCCCACATCTTTCAAGACCCTGAAATTCAAGGTAGGGACTGGGAGGAAGAAATCCTTCCCATCATGGGAGAAGATCAGATTTGTTACCACCTGAGGAATCTGAGCATACACCAGTCCATGGGATGACAGGAGAAGCTGAAAGCCATTGTGCAGCAGGAAAACTATGACATAATTGCAGTCACAGAAACATGGTGGGATGACTCACATGACTGGAGTGCTGCAATGGATGGCTATAAACTCTTCAGAAGGGAAAGGCGAGGAGGGAGAGATGGTAGGGTAGCTCTGTATGTTAGGGACTGACTCAACTGTCTGGAGCTTAACGATGGTGTCTATAGGGTTGAGTGTTTAATCAAGAATCAGGGGCAAGGCCAACAAGACAGATATTGTGGGAATCTGTTATAGACCACTCAACCAGGGTGAAGAGGCAGATGAAATATTCTATAAACAGCTGGGAGAAGTCTTAATAATCACTAGCCCTTGTTCTCGTGGGAGACCAACTTATCAGATGTCTGCTTAAAATACCACACAGCAGAGAGGAAACAGTCTAGGAGGTTCCTGGAGTGTGTGCAAGAGAACTTCCTGACACAGATGGTGAGCCAACTCAGGAAGGTGCCCTGCTGGACCTGTTGTATGTGAACAGTGATGGACTGCTGGGTGATGTCTTAGGCAAAGCGATCATGTAATGACAGTTTTTGATTCTCAGACAAGTAAAGAGGAGTGACAACAGAACTGCTACCTTGGACTTGCAGAGAGCAGACTGGCCTGTTTAGGAAACTGGCTGAGTGAGTCCTTTGAGAGGCAGTGATGAAGGGCTAAGGAGTCCAGGAAGACTGGACATTCTTCAAGAATGAAATTCTAAAGGCGCAGGAGCAGATTGTCCCCACGTGTTCAAAGATGAACCTGCGGGGAAGATGACTGGCTTGGCTGAACAGAGAACTTTGGCTGTGTCCTGGTTTAGGGCAAATTTGTTAAAGAATCTGCAAAGGAGGGCCCCTCCAGAAAGCAAAACCCACACGGCCCCTCCCCCCAACCGGTTCGGGAAAAAATTCCTCGGAGAGAAGTGGAAAGAACCTGTTTATTTGACTGGCACAGCACCCCCCGCACACAAAATGAACAATACCAGCTGACACCACTCTGAGAAAGATGACAAAATCAGAAAGTCTCTTTCGGGGTGGTTGCTCTGTTCTCAGTCCCTCCGGCGCTGGGCCAGCTGCTGCAGCCAAACCTTCGGTGTTCCCGGGTCCCAGTCCGGAGCAGGTTCGAGATGGTCACAGGAACAGGAGAGGAGAAACAGTCCGGGAAGGAATTTGGACTGTTTAGCTAAACTAGCTAATAAGCAGAAGCAAAAGCGAGAGCAGAAGCAAGAGCAGAAAAGCAAGCAAGCAAAAGCAGCGAGCTGCGAGCTAGAAGTGAAAACAGCCCTATGTACTGCCTTGTCTCTGTGTCCTGATAAGGGAAACCCAAACAAAACTTCCACTTTTCAGAGCCAGTCTTAAAGGCACAGAACGGATGAATGGGGATACAAGCATCATAATGTCACTCCAGGACAGGCTGGAACTCAGGGAAAAATAAAGAAGGGTTTATGACCTTTGGAAGGAGGGACAGGAAACTCAGGAGGGCTACAAACATGTCATGAGTTTATGTGGGGAGTATATGAGCCAGCAGTGTGCCCAGGTGACCAAGAAGGCCCAAGACATCCTAGCTTGTGTCAGAAATAGTGGGGCCAGTAGGACCAGGGAAGTGATTGTTCCCCTGTTTTTGGCACTGGTGAGGCTGCACCTCATATTGTGTTCACTTCTGGGCCCCTCACTTCAAGGAAGATATTGAGGTGCTGGAGTGTGTCCAAAACCAGGCAATTAAGCTGGTGAAGGGTCTGGAGCACAAGTCTTATGAGGAGCAGCTGAGGGAGCTGGAGTGTGGGGAAAAAGAGGCTCGGGGGAGACCTTATGTCTCTTTACAACTACCTGAAAGGAGCTTGCAGCAAGGTGGGGGTCTCTACTCCCTAGTAACAAGTGGTAGGACAAGAGGAAATGGCCTCATGATGCACCAGGAGAGGTTTAGAGTAGATATTAGGAAAAATTTCATCACTGAAAGTGTTGTCAAGCATTAGAGTCACCATCCCTGGAGGTATTTAAAAGACATAGCTGTGGCACTTTGGAACATAGTTCAGTGGTGGACTTGGCAGTGTTAGGTTAATGGTTGGACTCAATGATCTTAGAGGTCTGTTGCAACTTAAATAGTTCTATGATTCCATGACCCAACAAGATGCATGCCAGAGTCCTGAAGGAACTGATGTAGTTCACAAGCCATTCTCCATTACATTTAAGAAGTCATGGCAGTCAGACTGCATCACCAGTGACTGGAAAAAGGGAAACATTGCACTCATTTTTAAAAAGTGTAAAAACAAGGTTTTGGGAACTACCGGACCAGTTGGCCTCACCTGTTACCTGTAAGATCATGGAGCATGTAAAGGAAACTTCCCAGTCTTACCATTCAGGAGAGTCTCTGGCAGTCACACTCCAAATGTCAGAGACTTTAACTGCTGGGACTAAAGCCTCTTCGCAGTGGTGGCTCCAGTGAGCTGAAGGGAGCCCCTGCACACCCCACTCACATGCAGTCAGACCAGGTTTCCTTACCAGTTCGACCCCAAGTGTCCCATAGCAATCTCAGGTGTCTCGTTCCATAAAGCAATTTATTCACTGCACAGCAGCACAGAAACAGCCTGAGCTGGTGCCTCTAAGGAGTCTCGTGTATGGTCAGACTGGGTAGTTTCCTTAACAGAGCAGATCCTCCTGGAAGCTACATCGATGACAGGGGGGACATTAGACACAGGTGACATGGCTTCACCAAGGACAAATCATGTCTGACTAATCTAGTGGCCTTGTACAATGGAGTGACTGCATCAGTGGAAAAGGGGAGAGCTTACAGATGTCATCTACCTGGATTTATGTAAGGCCTTTGATACAGTCCCCCAAAATATTCTGGCCACTTAGATGGTGTTGTGTTTTAACCCCAGCTGGCAAATAAGTACCACACATATGCTCCCTCCTCCACTAGCTGCATGGGAAATTAGAAAAAAGTAAAACTTGTGAGTTAAGAACAGTTTAAAAATTGAAACTAATTAAAATATAATAATACTAATATTTTTAATGATGATAATAACAATAATAATAATTGTAATGAAAAGGAGAGAGAGAAAAAAATAAAACCCAAGAAACACAAGTGATGCACAATACAATTGCTCTCCACCTGCTGACCGATGCGCAGCCTGTCCCTGAGCAGCAATTGATCACTTCCAGCAAACTCCTTCCAGTTTATATCCTGGGCATGACCTTCTATGGAGTGGAATATCCATTTGGCAAGTTCAGGTCTCCTGTTCCAGTCATGCTCCCTCCCAGCTTTTTGTGCACCTCACTAGCAGAGCATGAGATACTGAAAAGTCCTTGACTTAGGGTAAGCTCTACTTGGGAAATACCAAAACATCTGTGTCTTATAAATATTATTACAGAATCACAGAATCATTTAGGTTGGAAAAGACCTCTAACATTGAGTCCACCATT